CTGAGAGTCATGCTAGGCTCAGGGAGACTTTGCTGACTGTCTGCCCCGCAATCATGCAGGCTCTCCACCAAGCTGGGTTTTTCTGTTCTTTGTGTTTTGATTAAAGACTGTTAGCTACCGCTCACCGCTTGTCTGCAGGCTTTATTTAATGGAAAACTTCCACAACAACTTTAAAACAACACATTTGGATCGTTATTTAAGGTTTGACTTTATCATCCACTGGAGCACAAACGGTGTGTCATCAGGATGCTACAACACAGAGCGAACAACAGCCCCACAGACAGAGCATCGAGGGAAGCAGAAGAACATCACATCAAGAAGGCTATGAGTAAATGTGATTATCCCATTTGTCAAAGCTGGGAAGGCACCTAAAGAAAGCTCCAGGAGAGAAGAAGGACAAATGCTGCCTAAGTGAAAACTCTTAGTGATTGCTTATATGTCAAGAGTACGGTAACAGCTGAGATGCATTTCCTTTAAACACAACATCTCTGTTGCTTTCAAACCCCAAAATATGTTCTCCCAAAATTTGGTCCACCCCAAGGATCAGGTCCCCTGGCACAGAGTAATATAGTGTATGCTGCTAAGTGCCAGTAGGATTGTCTTGAGTTATACGTCAGGGAAACCAAACAACTCCTGGCTAAGTGGATGGGCAACATAGAAGAGCTAACTCATCAGGCCAGGACTCCGCAGTCTATTTACACCTACAGGCCAGTGGACACTCTTTCAATGATGAGGATGTATACATCCTGGACAGGGAGGAATGCTGGATTTAGTGGGAAGTTAAGGAGACTATTTACGTGAATTTTTGGGAATTCCCAACATCATTAAATGACCACCAGGTTTTTTTTTAATCTAATGGTACAATGGACAGATAAAAATTCAAAAGTAGAAAATTACAGTGTGCACAAAGACAATACTGATAATGTGGATTATATAAGCTTAATTTCAGACAATACTTTAGACAGAAGACAGGTTGGCCTGACAAGATATTATACCAGGGCTGGATTAGACATGTAATCTGGCATACTGGGCATTTTGCTGGTGGGCCAACCCACCTTTGGGCGTATGGACCAGCCCAAAGGGCCAATCCTCACCTGCTGTACAAGCATTAATGTCAGCGGATTCATTTACTTTCGTTACTGACACTGGATTGGCCAATCACATCTCTTAATTCAACCGGTACCTTCCCTATTTTTGCTGTTCTCTCATGGAGCTTGTAGAAAAAAAGTTTAGTGTGGAAGAAGTGGTGAGAAGGTGGAGCTGAACAGCTGAGAGAAGACAATACAAAGAAAGTAAAAATAAATGCAGCAAAATGTGCCAAATTAATCAACATGTTAGATGTTGGAGCTGCTGCACCATAAGTAGTAGTACCATGACTCACAGTCACAAGAGGCTCCTGCTGCTAGCACCAGCTGTGAAGAAGTGAACAATAGATGGAGGGATATAATTAGGAAGGGAAAGATTCGGTGATTCAGGTAAAATGAAGGGCTATTTTCACCATGAGCCACTGCTAAAAGCTAAAGTAGGGGTGTCAAACCTCCACGGCAACTGTGCAGGAATAAAATATAAATTGTAAGACGGCAGAAATAAATAACAAACGGGAGAAATATATACAATCAATAGGAATATATACAGAACAAGAGAAAAGCACACAATAGAAAAGCCTCACATTGCAGAGCAAAGTGCTTTGGAAGAAAGACTTGGTCTCAAGGACTTGAGAACTAGGAGTTAAGACTGACTGAAGCTAATGTGAAGCTAGTATGACAAGCAGCTGTTGACTACCAAACCAGACACAATAGTGGTTGACAAGGAGCAGAAGAGGGCTGTTGTGACAGCTTTGACAATCTCAGCTGACAGTAACATCCAAAACAAGGAGCATGAGAAGATGCACGGAAGCCTCCAACTCCCATGCCTCTGGTAGAGGAACTGAGCATCAGGGTGACACACACCACCCCTGGTTGTGAAATGGAAATCGAATTTACATAAGCCTGCCTTTTATGCACCATCGTGATCTCTGTGTTGATTTGTGGCTTCTGACATGACATGACATGAAGTGAGGACACAGTCTTCAGTAAACAGGGCTTTGATATCTTCTTTCTGTTATATTTTAAAGATCAGCTTTTTCTTTCTTTTTTTTTTTACTCTTAAGACAGAGGTAGAGACTTTTAAAATTGGAGTGTTTGTTATTTTATTGTGAAACTACCCACATGTTCTGTGCCCTCTTCATCTGGTCTGTCCAGTTGCTTCTGTCAAAAGATATGGCCAGTCTCTTTTTATTTCTTGGATTTCTCTTAATACCATTTTGCCAAAGTACCTTTTGAGTTTACTCATGAAACTTAATCTCCTGGCAAACATGTCATTTATGCCACCAATCCCTACCCACCTTTTTTTTAAGACTTTGCAGACTCGTAAGCCTCTAAAATGGCACCACCAGTGTTGCTTTGGCCAGCAAGTCAAACCACTGAATCCAGCAAACATCTTGAGTGTAACAAGGACACACAAGTGACATCTCACAAAAAAGAAAAAAATATTGTATCATGCCCTGGGATGATAATGCATTCGCTTGACGTGTATTTTAGAGACACAGAGCAGAGGGTTTCTTCTGTGGAATCACAAGCACTGGCTTGAATGAGCACTAACCGTGCTGACAGCCACATTTAAGACAGAAATTGACGTAAACACCCCTGGTGGGATTCAGGCATCAATCTTTCTCAGGTCATTGTCTCTTTATTCTGGCATTCATACATTTTCCCCTGCTGGCAATCTGCCTTTGGTTAGTTCTGGTTCTGTTAGGTTTTTGTTAGCCTATTGGAATTATTTGACGACTGTGTGGCATGATTGATTGTTTTCAGTGATACAGTTAAGTACCTTCTCCATTAACAGCCTGCCAGCTTGCCTCTGTTTTCAGCCACTTTATAAGTTGAAAATGTTACATGTACACTCTGTAGTGTAGAATACTGTATGTGTGGTTTTCTATATCTAGGAACGTGGAAGAAGCAGAGGCATAGACTAACGAAATGTAGTGACAAGGGCAGACAAAACAGTGTCCAGTTAAATCATTATTCATTATCTAATTATGTAAGCACTTTACAATAAACTTTGAATTACCACAGCCAGGCTACTGGTTTCCTGTAATGCTGTCAGACGTTTCAGTAACAGTGACAATATTCGTACTATGTTTTACAGTAAGAGCGCAATAAAGATGTTACAAAGCTGTAATGTTCTCGCCAGACAATGACACCTACACTTGCTCTGTTTCACTCAGATTGTGTGTGAGAGAACAAAATGTCGACATCTGTTTTATATTTGGATGCTCTTTTGTCCTGAACTTCATCCGCACTGTTGGGCCAATCACTCAGATGTGACCACATTAAAGTGCTGCTCAGTGGCCAGCACACACAAGCACACAAAGAGAGAGGGAGAGAGTTCATAAACTTAGAAAGAATTCATTGAAGCAAACCCCGATGTGACATTTAACTTCTTCTCTGGCCCTGTATATTTGCAGTGTCTAATCCTGTGAGAGTCCACTTTACAACAGAAACTTATAATACCTGATATAAAAAGATCTACATGGAGTTTAGCTTGATTTCCACGAAGAATTTTATGTGGACTGCCAAAGAATATTGAAAAAAGAAACAATGTTCTGTGGTTCTGAATATTTCAAATTCAATATAAACATTAATGGATCTTTTCAAAGGATTTTTTCTTTGTTGTTTTTAAAGTCAAAGATCTCCCCAGCCACTGTTTCTTAAAACCTAGGTCAGGGTACATTCTCACCCTCACCCATTCTCGCACTCAAATTTCAAACAAGCCCAGGCATTGAACTACAAGACTTTGAAAGAGAATGTTGCTGTGGACTCCTTTTTTCAGACTCCTTATATCTTTAGCCTCTTACTGTAGGCAATCAAGACCTCTTATTATGTTCAATGGATCTGTGAGCCACTGCATAAAGTATTAATTTTCCATCCATCCATCCATCCGTCCATCCATTTGCAGGAGTCACCAGACTAATGAGAGATGCAAAGACCTCTCTCCCCTGCCAAAAGCTCCTCTAGGTCAATAACATAATCTGTATCCCACAATGGCCATTGACAATGGGTGCAATACACTGCACTCCTGGAGCACCCCCCACAGGATACTCTGAGGGAGTCAGTGAAATGCGCTCTCCAAGTCCACAAAATACATTTAGACTTGCTGGGAAAATATCACCTCAAGTATCCTTGAGGTCTAAACAGATTGTCCAGGGGTTCACAACCATGTTTAACATGTGAACTTTCCTCTTTTGTGCCCCACCCTAGACTTTCCCGTGGAAGTTGAAGAGTGTGATTCAGTTGAGGCACCCCTTCTGGATTGCATTCTTAAAAAAGGGGACTTGAACCCCAGTTTACCAGCCAGAGCCATTGGTGCAGGGATGCCAGGAAAACCAGGATGATTCAACAAAATACAGAGCATTGTGAATATTATCCACCAATGGGATTGAATGCTATGAAGTGAATACTATACTATGAATAAATTAAAATGCTATGTACGATACAATATATATACATAGCTTTCTTTCCAAGTATTAATAACATGCATGTGGACTTTAAACAATGTCTGTTCTTTTCATAAAAAAAATTCAGTGCAAAGCATGCAGTACTTCTGCAAGTACTGAGCACGTGAAAAGATATAAAATATAGAACAACAGCTATTTTGTGTCTCTAGTACAGCAGAGAGTACATAGATGTACTACACAAAGCTAGATGGTAAATGGCCTGCATTTGTATAGCGCTTTTCTAGTCCATAGGACCCCAAAGCACTTTACACTACATTCAGTCATTCACCCATTGGCGATAGCAAGCTACATTGTAGCCACAGCCGCCCTGGGGCGCACTGACAGAGGCGAGGCTGCCAGACACAGTAGGCACCAGTAGGCAAACAAGGGGTTAGTATCTTGCCCAAGGATGCAGCTTGGGATCGAACCACCGACCTTCTGTTTAGTGGCTGACCTGCTCTGCCACCTGAGCTACAGCCACCCCAGTGTGTGAAACTTACAAAGAGTGTAGGTCTTTTTTATTATTTAATAATAAAAACCTACCATTAGAGAACACAATAGTTTAACAACGTTTGTCACTAAGAATATTTTGAACATAGGACATATTCTTAACTTAATGACAAACACTTCTGTGTAAAGTAAGCTGTTTTTCCCAGCCAACATCAGACTCAAACAGAAAACAAAAGAAAAATATACAGACTTCCATGGTAATGAATATTGTGCATACTGATTTTAGATTTTCTTATAGGTGATGATAATAATAAAGAAATACATTGTATGTTTGTATTGTATGATACAAAATATCAAACTAAATCATGCTATCGTGTGGCACATAAATCTCAGATGGGTTTTTTTTCCTCTCCATTTTTTACCCACATCTTCTTTTGTCAATCTGTCCTTGTTAGTAAGTATAAATATAAGACAAGATAGAACTTGTAGGTGCCTAAAGGAAATCTGTCAGTCATGTAGTAACACTGACAGGCTCATAGGCAAATGGGTATAGCGGCACGGAGACAGACGGACATGAAAGAATGCAGCAGGTTGGCCAAATAAGCAGGCTATCAGGTAGAAAGACTGGCAGGCGGGTGGTCTGGTTGGCAGGCTGCCAAGTTGTGGTGTATGTGGACAGTGAGAAAGGCAGACCAGTGACATATTGGACACACTGACTCCCAAGCAGTCAGGGAGACTGGCATGAGGAGAGACAGCTAGATAGATAGACAGACAGATAGATAGGGAATTATTTGACTGTGCCTTCCACCATCCCTTGTGGTTCACAAAGGACATGAGGTATGTCACTGAAACCCCTGATGACAAGCAGAGAAACGGTAATGGAAAGTTTCAAAAGGTGAAGGCTGAAAAAGAAGGAAAGTTTTTGATGGACACAAAACTTTTTTTAAAACTTTTCTTTTTTTTAACAATGCAATAACCCATTAGCTTTTAAAACTGTCAGTTTAAATGCCCAACCATTATCTTAATTTCATGGATATTTTGCATATTTACATGTTATTTAAGCAGTCCTGCTAATCAACCCTTTGATAGGAATGTTTGGTTATAAGTTGCTAAAGCACTGAAAAAATACTTGACATATTATTATTGCTGTCATGTATTATTAAGCATTTATGAAATAAAGACACCCCTTTGCTGTTGTGGGTCCTTTTGTCTATTCATTGGCAGCAGTTTACTACAATACTCTTTATTGTCTCTGATGATTGATGTTGTCGGTGAGGTCAGTTTATTATTCAGTGATAACCTTAAAATGTTACCCGAATTTATACTCATATTTTTGCTTTCTCGATCAGCGTCCCTAGAGTGATGACATTGCTTGACAGTGCACTCACCCACTGACCTTTATAAACATTAACAGACCTACCATACCTTTCTAACTGAGAGAAAATATTTTTTTTTAATAAATGGAGTTATAATACACCAAATAGATTTAATAGCAGTACACCAGGTAAAGAAACAAAAACCTCAACCAAAGCATTTTTTCTGGTAAATTTAAATCTTGTTTTCATATCTTAACTGACAGTTATGATTTAGCACTACAATACTTTTGCTTCAACATCTATAAACGTATGTCATGGTCCCCTGGTCTTCCTGTGCCAACTTTCTGTTTTCTAGTTGTTTCTCTTCCCTGTTCTTTCTCTCTATCTGTCTCCCTCCTTTCTCAGTATATGTGTACGCATGTGTGTCTGTTTCAGGGGCGAGTTTCCTCCAGGAGCACCTGCCCTCCTGATCTGTACAACTGGAGTTGTCATCAATTTTCTCACCTGCGCACAACTGTTCGTTTCCTGTCTGCTACTTGAGGCTGAAGAAATCCCTCAGTTGATGCCAGATGTTGTACTAACAGTGTTATCCCCCCAACAAACAAACAAACACACACAACCCTGACAAGGATAAGCGGAAGAGGATGGATGGATGAATGGATGGATGCTTCCAGTCTTTGGAGACTTTGAGAGATTATAGTGGAGATAAATATATGGACTTATCTGCCTGTTACCTCATTCCCCAAAACAGCTTTATGAACTTGTTTACTTCCAGTGCTCACATTAAACCTGTTGAGCATTTTTTTCATCTTAGCCTTGACATCGTGACCTCATGTCTTTGTGTTATACAGATTACATTTTTATTATTTACTGTCCTTCTTTGCCCTTCCTGTGACATGATACTTGTCAAACCCAAGCATATCAATGTTTTGCTGTAACATTCAAAGTGGAAGCTCTAACTAGTAGTCTCATTAGCACTGATCTCCAAAGTGTATGTTAGTGCAGCTGTACTGTGAAAAACTCTGGCCATCCATGTCCGGTGAGATGAATGAAGGGTTTGTAGTGGCCTTATGTCAGTCTTTTTGACAGTAGCTGACAGTCTGAAAGGGTGAATGATGGCTACTCATGAAGAAGAATGGCAGTTTTACAGTCCACCAGATGCTCTCACTTTTTTCTATTCTCCTATCTATTTTTGTGTGTCCAATATGTGTCTGTCTATGGGTGTGCACTGCCTAAGGCTTGTGTGTATTTTATTTATCGTTATAGAATGGTGACTGGTCTGGAAAACCAAGGGAAAACACATCAGGCAAAACATTTCCATCATGTCCCACTAACACGTCTGTAACTCCAGAAGTAACTCTTGATAGATGTTTTTTTCTTTGTTGACACCACTGTGTGTTGGTGTCAGTTATTTTAATATGACATGGCGTGAGACAGGCACTGAACTGTGCAGAAATTGGGAAACACATTTACAATATGAATAGGAAGGTTCTCTGTACTCCAAGATTCAACATTTTTTGCTATGAACATCACTATTTATTAACATTGCATATGTGCAGAAAGCATGAATGTCCCCAGAGCTCAGTTTAGCCTGGAGTAATCCACCATGACATGCGTGGTAAATCTCTACAGGATTGTCAAATGGGGAGGTTTGCTTGTCTATTACCATGACAGGACACTTTCAAAAATGACTAAAAAAACAAAAACAAAAAATACAGTTGCGCCTACACAAATAGACTTAATGATTATCAATTTTAGCTAACTTATCCTGCTTTACTCGGAGAGGTACTGAATAATTTTAATAAGACTTGCTACAGCCTTTAAAATACCTGCGCACAGTATCCTTTCTCTAAAGTGACTTTAATGTATCATAAATATAATCAGCAGTCGTGTTATGAGAGAAGGATTCCAGCAACCCGATATCGTCGCTGATTTTAGTGACGTTTCATTGCGTAAACTTTTTTTTTTGCCTTGTGCTGCAACCACAGCTACTGTAACGATAATTCAGCAGTCCACAGAAATCATCCTCCTCCTTGCAGAGATACAAGAACTTTGCAAGTGCATCCCAGTCGTCTTCGTGAGCTGTGGCTTGGTTTGCCGCTCACAACACGGGCTTGTGTTGCCCGCTGGAGGCGAGGCGGGGGAAGACACGCAAGTGGATGAGAAAAATGAAGCTTTCTGTGCTTCTCTGTCTCTCTCCCCCGCCTGCTGTAGATAGTCGTGGCCACCCTCTGCGTCTCCACAGCAGTGAGAGGAGGTATTGGCAGGGTGAGGGGCTGCTAACTCCACAATTTGCTCTCGCAACTAACGCCGAATAAATATGCTCAGCGAAAGAACTGAGTATCATTGTGATTATAATTAGATAAGCCTCATAAGGAGAGAGAGAGGGAGAGTCCTGACTGTCATCCACAGGTTTCGTAGTTTCACCCAGCCCGCACGGCTCTCGCTCCCAGACTCTCACTCATTTATTTATCTATTTATCCGTGACGCGCGTCCCCGCCGCGAAAGCCCGAGCGCTCCCCACTCTCTCTTCCCTTCCCCTTCTCCTCTCGGCAGCATCCAGAACCATAGAGCAGCCGTCCCCATCACTCGCTTTCCTCCCCTCCTCCTCTTTCTCTCGCCGCCAGATCGCTCTCTCTCTTTCTGCGTCTCTCACCCCCTCACCCCCATCCACCTCCCCAGCTCTGTCCCTCATTCCTCTGACGCACGACAGGGAAACATACCCGAGGAAAAAAAGAAAGGGAAAGAAAAAAAGATAGCAGCTGACCCAGCCACAGTCGATATGATCCACAGATTCCTTCTACTGCTGAGCCGGAAAGAAACGCGGTCCTGAAACCGAGAGGAAAATACTTGCACCCAGCTATACCGTTGTTGAGCGCGCACCCGGGGGGCGGCTGTGGAGAAGGAGGGAGGGGGGAAAGTGGTGGAAGGGGAAGTGGACGGACACAAGCCGAGGACTTGCATTTTAAGCAAACTGCTTTGAGAGGGAAAAATGTAGAGGAGAAAGAAGGGAAGAGAGTCAGAGTAACCGGAGAGTGAGAGTGGCAGAGATCGCATTCCTATCACGTCTTCATTTCTTCTCTCTTTTGCCTCAGCCACTGAGAGATCGAGAGAGAAGAAGAAGGAGAAGAAGAAGAAGAAGAAGAAGAGAGGGCGAGAGATAGAGAGAGAGGGAAAAGGAGAGGAGGGGAGAAGGAGATCTAACAAGATTCAAACTAGTGGTCTTTCCCCGATGCTTTGCAATTGGTGAGTGGTTATAGGCTGTTTCCATGTGCATGTGCATCATATGGGAAGCCTTACGCAGATGTGTGCATGAATGTGTGTGTGTGTTGCCGTGCTTATCGGTGTCTGCATAGCCACAGACTTCAAAATGGGACAACAAGCGTTCTTCATATATCGAGGATAACGGATCACCGGCATCTAGTTAACTGATCAGTGGCCGTTCGTTCTTTATTCGGAAATTTCCTGCCAATGTCACGACGAAAGCCTACTGCATTATGCTTGGCATGTATTTCAATAAGCGCTCTGCTCTCTGCTCTGTCTTGACAGCAACGGTTTCGTGTGTGTGCGCGCGCGCGCGAAGAGGGCATATTCTCTATTTTTTTTGGACTGTAAGTTGTGCAGTATAATAATTTCACCATAACTTAGTATGATTTAAATTCAAGTTTAATCCTTTTCCAGGTTGTACTGGAATTACCACGCAAGATAAGCAGTACTTTTAACTCATCCCCGGCTCATTTACATGCGCATCTCTTCCTCTTTCCATCCTCAATGCCCTCCTCTCTCTCTCTCTCTCTCTCTCTCTCTCTCTCTGTGTTTCCTCCTGTTCCTTTCTTACGCCTCGGTCACCCCCCCATTTCTCTTTCTCGTCCTCACAGCCGGACATCGGACGCTAAACGGGACGCACCGGGCAACAACAGGACACACTGCAGGAGGATATGTGAAGTTGGAATCCTACTAAACTAAGTACGTATGTTAAACGATCTGATACACCCCAAGGGAATATAAAACGGCGTTTAGTATATACATATATATTTTTTAAATTTTCTTTAAATTTTATTACTACCTTTTTGGCATCGCATCGGCGCTTTTTTGATCCCCACTACGGAAGTTGAAACGATAAATCGTGGAGGATTATGCACAGAGTTGGGAATGAAAACAGTGAATTTTTCAACGAGGGAATTGCATGAAGGATTTTTTCCCTACTTTTTTCCGTCACATCATTTTTGGGGATTACAAAACATGTTTTCCGTCTTTTTTTTCTTTCGTTTTTTTACCCTTGTCGCTGGGCTTTTGATTTCAGCACCACGGACAGCGTCTTCACTCCCACAGACAGTCGTAGGGCATCTCCCTGGATTTTTTAATGCCTTCGTTTGAACGGAGAGAGCTGTGCGTGCATGTATGAAAAGTCACAGCA